AATGGCCAGAGATCTTGGAGTCTCTCAATGGTGATACCAAAAAATATATTATGGAATGGGTAGATACTGTTCGAGAAAAGTATATTTCAGATAATGACCTTGGCAACGATGATAATGATAATCCAATCTACTATGGGGATCCTCTTCTTATAATCGAATGGGATGAAACAGGACTAGTTCAATAAAATGTTCAAAAAATACAGTACTAACTTGTATGTATATTAATTAGTTTAATTTATATCATTTGAGGAGGTCTTTAATATTGCATAATAATATTTTGTTCGACAGATATTCGCTCATTTCAAGGCTGTAGTCCTTTTCCAAGTAATGATCAACCTTGATCAGATTCCCTTTTTGTTGATTCGCCAGATGTTCTGGCCTAACAAATAACTTGGAATATTTTACGTGGGCTTCAAAGAATGTACTCACAAAGAAATATACCTTCTTTAGGAAGGGTCTATACTGTGGTTGCAGAAAGAAAAGATAAATTTAAGGCTATTGAGAATTTTGGTGTGTTTGACTGGTAATTAGCGTATCAGTTTTAATTTTAATAAATATTACATGCATAAAATGCTAATTGCGGTAGTAACATTAATGGTTGTATTGTCACATTTATAACACTATGCATAAATAAATGGTGTAAAAAAGGTTTACCAATATCAAACATTCTGTGTATAATTTAGACCACAATAAATTTACAAACTTAATAGAAACTGGCTTCAGAGGTTTAAAGTTTTTAAACATGAGTAAATTTTTAGTTCATGATATGTAAATTTTCTATTTCTTCGTTAGTCAATCCACCCTGAGTGATTACATTGTACAAAGTCGAGTATAATTAACAATTATAAAAACCTTAGGCTAACATGCTTAGAAAGGATGAATTGAATGATTATTTATTATAATTATTTTATTTTAACTATGATATCTGTTATTATATGACAAAAATTTAATCTACTTTTTTTTTAAAAAAAATAATAATAAAGATTTGCGTAAAAGGCAATTTTGATATTGCGCATAAATCTATTTGACTTGCGAGATTGTTAGATTAACCATACCCTCAACTGTATTAACAAAATCATTCAAAAATATGGATAAATACTGAAATTAGCTCTCAATTTTTGTCATTAATTCACGTATGATTCATAATAAAATTTTCTTCGTTTAAATGATCATGCATTTTGTATAATGTTTCTGTTTATTGTTCATCATCATTTAGATTCTATAAAATTTTTTTTGCAAATTTCATATAACTTTTTTTCAAAATAAATTGGAGTTTAAAAGATTCTATTTTCATTTTTAGAATCCCAAATCAGAAAATTAAATAGGCATAATCGGTGATAAATTGGCTTGTTTTATTCACCATAAGTGATTATGTAAATAGTATATACTTTAAAAAAAATATAATTTGTAAGTATGTCATTATTTTATCTGAAAATTGGACATCAAATAATTAATTCTGAAACCCCCACTAGGCTTGTTAAGTGGAGTAGCGAATTGATTATTATTTCTTTTCTTTTATGGACTAGGTGCTGGAAAAAGCAACTAAAATAACGATTTTTTCAAACCAAATTTTTTTACATAAATTAATTTAGAATAAGCAGGGTTGGCATTGGACAATGTCCAAATAAATTTAATTGGACATTGGACATAGTCCAAATGTCCAAATAATTTTTTGCGTCTTCAGGCATTGGACAATGTCCAAATAAATTGTAAGACTATTGGACATATGTCCAAATAGTCAATTGGACATATGTCCAATTGTCCAATAATTTTATTGGGCAATTTTAATAATA